TAAAGATACAGAAGTTCAATTTCAATGGACAGAAAGAGCTGGATTCTGTGTACTGCTGCTTTTATTATCAGTGCATACATTACACATTTTCAGTTGCTTCTGCAAAGTTTCATTTTGATGTTGTTTATTGGAAGTATGTGTGATCCAGGAATTATTTCATGCAGAACCAGTCAAGGATGAAGTTTGCTTGTTCTTTCCATCTTCCTTTAGAGTCTAGACCCCATCTCTTAGTTCAACCCACAGATTGCAGGCACAAAGGAGCTTCTATTCAAGGCAGTTTAAGGCAATGAGGACTCAGCAGGAAAAGAGGATAAGTGCTGGGACATCTTTGTGCTGCACTTAAGAGATGCACCTGAAGAAAGGCTCACAGGAAAGCAAGCATATAATTGCAGCTCATGGAAGGACAGTTTGCCATACAGTTCTAGGACATAATCTCATTCTGGATGTGCAGGGAGGATGGAAGCAGCAAGATTGATGGTGACTGGAGTTCCAGCTCCAGGACAAAAGGAAAACAGGGTGAAAGCAGCATGGGTGAATCCCATAGGTAGGATATTTAGTAAACTTCAGAAGTATGGAGCACAGCACTTGAGAAGAACCATGTTTATTGTAATAATCAGTGGGTGCCTGCTTTACAAGAGGAAACACAAACAATTGAAAAGCAAAGCCCAGAATATGCAGGAAGGGACCCATGCTTAAATAACCAATGAGTAAGTGAGTAAATGGTAACTACAGAAATGCTATTCTGTATCCTGTACAGATGCAGATAGATAAACTCCACAAAACATCCATAACAAAGTACTTTCATTGGTTCATCAGGTATCTTCATAACTCACATTTGTGACAAAGTTCTTCTTTAATGACCAATCCTTTGCATATCTGTCTTGTAGGTAAAAAGATGGTTTATCTCCTATCCTTTTTCTCCCATCTTGTAACAATAGAAGTAGAACAGTTACCAGGAGTCCATGAATTCAGCCAAGAGTGAGGAAAACTCCCCCAACCCATCGAGGGTCAATTTAGTGACCAATTAGGATTACAGATGTGGTCACGTGACATAGACTACATTTCCCAGGATACCTTAACTACATTTACCATGATGCATTCCCTTAAGGGAACAGCTCACAATTGCTACCTAACTATCCAATTCCCATACACTGGCTGGATAGCACAAATGTGGAAGAACTATTCCCAGACAATTTTATTACAACTAATCCACTAAAATGCATACAGTCATGCAGTTTGGGTTTCATTTACTTGGTCCATTGGATACAGTGGGAAAGCCTTGACAATTGGCAGATTCCAGAACTGCTAGTTGTCTGTAACATAATATTAATTATCAGAATCTTGTTATAAATATCATCCCCAATTGTCTGCCAATTTGATTGGCATTGCTTGCTCCTCTTCCTAAGATTATATAACTGAAATGCACAGTTCTGAGTTTAAGTATGTGCACAACAGAACTATCATGCCAAGTCCAACCTCATATCCAGAGGCTTTTTTCTAAGTTGCTGTTCATAGGATGGCAGTCTTTTGAAGCACCCTATGTGCTTCCATGTGCCTTTGGCATTTAGTCATGCCGGCCACATGTCCATGGAGATGTCTCCAGACAGCGCTGGCTCTTCGGCTTTGTAACAGAGATGAGCACCGCCCCTAGAGCCAGAAACGACTAGTACATATGTGCGAGTGGAATGTTTTCCTTTATCTATCCTTGAAATCAACAATATCTGCTTTGGTGTAGCTATCTTGCAGAGACATAGCATCACACCACTGAATAGGCTCACATCTGTAGAAAATCCCAAAGGGTCACTTGATTTGATTGTGCTGAAAAGTGGTAATTAAGGAGCACAGATTTATACATCTTTTGGTTGTGTTGCATCCTTGTTGGTTTCACCAGGAAACAATTTCAATTCAAAACCTGAACTGGTAATTGAAGACTACCTACAATTGAAGCTGGGATCCCTATTGCTATATGGGTGCTGATTCAAACGACGGATAGAAGTTTGAAACAGCCTTTGTATGTATCAGATAACTTCTTTGTAGTTACAGACTAAGTTCCAAAAATTCCTTTCGACTGGCTCAGTTTGCAACTAGATGATGCTTTAAAAAGTCATCAGTCTGCACTCAGAAATGAAGAACCAAATTTGTATAGGAATGTGTGTGTTGGCCTATGAGGGAGGGAGACATTTTCAACAAAATAATCTCTGCAATTTTGATAGACAATGTGCCCTTAAGTTGGTATTGACTTATTACAACTTATAGCAATGACATAGACCCTCTCCAGGATAATCTGTCCCCATCCTGGCTTTCAGGTCTCCCAACCATGCACTCATCACTGCTATAATTGAGTTGATTCATTGTCTGCTTGTTGGCCATTCTTTGGTTCTCTTTCTGTTCCATTTTTTCCAGTATCATGGAAGTCTAAGGAGAGCCTGGTCTTTATCCCTATCTTTGTTTTCTTGGCTATCCATGGAGTTCTTAGGAGTCCCCTCCAATATCAAACTTCTGAAGTACCAATATTTTTTTTCTTATCCCACCCCCCTTCTTCAAAGTATTTTAAAGGGGCTCAAAAGAGTTAACTAGCTTTGAAAAAATGCAGATCTCTTCAGCAGATAGGACATGATAGGAGTGAATAATCCAATTGGAGTGCTGTTTGTTCTCCCAATCTGCATTGATATAGAGGTGCATTTTAATATAAGCAGCTCTCCCTAAGCGGTTTACAGTGTCAGCATATTGCCCCCAATAATCTGGGTCCTCATTCTACTGACCTCAGAAGGATGGAAGGCTGAATGAACCTTGAGCCAGTCAGAATCGAACTGCTGGCAGTGGGCAGAACTAGCCTGCAATACTGCATTCTAACCACTGCACCACCATGGATACAGCAGTGTTTTGGCTGTAAGTATCAAGTTTAGTTGCACATTTAGGACAGGGACTGGCTTCTTCTCTCTCCAAGGCTATTTCTAGTTTGATATTTCCCCAATTCTGCAGTCCCCTTATTGGGAGATTTCTGGCCCCCGCCACTCCATGTGCCAAAAGGAAAAAGCCAGAAAGTCAGAAGGGAAACTGATCCTTGTTCCACATGAATCAGGAAGACACCATCTTCAACAGTTTAAAATAGAACCAATAGAGAGCCAGTGATGACAGGAAGAAGATCACCAATGGGAAGAGAAAAGTTTGGGTTGGGATTATGTTGCATGGACCCAAGGGGAAAAATGCACAGGGGGAAATTGTTCTTTTGCCAAATGGGAAAAACATGTGTGGATGCCATGCATCTAAAATTCTCTGGGGGAAGAAAAAAAAGTATCCTTTGATACTGCTAAGTGACTTGGGAGTATCTTGATAAAATTAACTCTGCAATTGGCCAATTCACTCAAGAACAGTTTAAGTCCCACAATGTATGGCTGTAAAAGTTGGACCATAAGAAAGGCTGAGCGCCAAAGAATTGAGGCCTTTGAACTATGGTGCTGAAGAAGACTCCTGTGAGTCCCTTGGACTTCAAGGTGGTCAAACTGGTCAGTCCTAGAGATCATCAACCCTGACTGCTCTTTAGAAGGCCAGATCCTGAAGATGAAACTCAAATCCTTTGGCCACCTAATGAGAAGGAACGACTCGCTGGAGAAGAGCCTAATGCAAAAGAAGATTGAGAGCAAAAGAAGAACTGGACGACAGAGAATGAGATGGAGTCACTGGACTCTGGAGGACAGGACAGGAGGACAGGAAGGCCTGGAGGAACATTGTCCATGGGGTCGCGATGGGTCAGGCACAACTTTGCAATTAACAACAACAAAACAATACTCTCTGTTTCTCTCTCTCTCTCTCTCCTCTGCCCAAGTCTCTCTGCCTAGGGGAGACAACGGGACTGCAAGGCATTCTTTCTTATTGATATCTGTGCCTTTCAACCAAATTTCATCCGCAGCAAATTTCTACACAATGGGGGTTGGCCTCCTGCAAACACCCAACTAATGCCCGTTCTTCTCACGCCACTGCCTCTACGGGCAAATTTCGCTACTAGGCCTTTCCAAATCTCCAAAGCTGGTTGGCTTTGAAAGCAGTTCCGCTTTCAAAGCCAGAGACGTCTCTCCCAAAAACTAAAGGTGCTTAGCAGCCAGTGAAGTGCTCCGGGGAAGCCTCCGATAGTACGCAAGAGTTAGTAATACATTACTAAGGATTTATTGCAAAAATAAAGATGAGAGCCAAGTGACCTTATTATGAGCACCGGCTTTGCGTAAAGTCCCGCTGAAAGTCCTGGGACAGGTTGCTGAGAAACCCACTTGGGCAGGGGTCCCCAAACTTGGCAACTTTAAGACTGGTGGACTTCAAGCTGTGCTGGCTGGAGAATTCTGGGAGTTGAAATCCACCAGTCTTAAAGTTGCCAAGTTTGGAGACTTCTGCACTTGAGGATGGGGCTGCTCTTGCAACGGAGCAAGGAAAAGTACCCCTCCACCTGGCGCAGGTAGCGAAAGACATCCCCGCCTGGGGTTTTCGAGAGGTGCTGCACAGAAATGCCCAGCTGCCCGCCTCATTCTCAAAATTCTCGCTTGGTCCACCAGGAGCGGAGAATCGCCCAGGTGGTGGCTGTGGGTAGCCACCGCCCCGTTCAGGGGGAGCCCCAGGGTGGCGCCAGGACCGAGCTATATAAAGCGACCCGGCCAGCCTCATTACCTGGTCCCCGCGGGAGCTGCTCCATTTCATTCACCCCGTTGCTTCCTTCCACCCTGACATCCCCCCCACTGGTGCGCAAACTCTCTCTCTCTCTCTCTCTCTCTCTCACACACACACACACACACACTCACTCACTCTCTCACACACACTCTCTCACACATACACACACTCTCTCTCTCTCACACACACACTCTCACATACACACATTCTCTCTCTCTCTCTCTCTCTCTCTCTCACACACACACACACACACACACACACTCTTTTTCTCTCTCTCTCTCTTTCACTCTTTTTCTTGGTATATGAATCTGGCCGGTTTTTCCTTCTTCTCGGGTAAGTGCACCATGACAGCCGACGCCTTCCACTCGCCCAGTCAGGGGACAAGCCCGGATTCCCCCGCTGGGCATCGGGCCTCCCCGTCGAGCTGCAAAGTGGAGCCTTTCTTGATCAAGTCGGAGCCCAGAGGGAGCCCGGCGGAGAGAGTAAACGAGCAGCCGGCGGACGATCAGCCCTCCGGTGCCGGCACCTCGGCCAGCGCGGGAGGAGGCGGCGGCGGTGGCCGTCGAAGGAAGCGTCCGGTGCAGCGAGGGAAGCCCCCGTACTCCTACATCGCCCTGATCGCCATGGCCATCGCCAACGCGGCGGAGCGGCGGCTGACGCTGGGCGGCATCTACACATTCATCACCGAGCGCTTCCCTTTCTACCGCGAGAACCCCAAGAAGTGGCAGAACTCCATCCGCCACAACTTGACCCTCAACGACTGCTTCGTCAAGATCCCCCGCGAGCCGGGCCACCCGGGCAAGGGTAACTACTGGACCCTGGACCCGGCCGCCGAGGACATGTTCGACAACGGCAGCTTCTTGCGCCGCCGGAAGCGCTTTAAGCGCACCGACCTCACCACCTACCCGGGCTACATGCCCAACGCCAGCGCCTTTACCCCCAACGCGGCTCCGGTCGGGAGGCCCGGCCCTTGCGGGGGCTCCGGAGCCTTAGCTTACCCGGGTGGCGGCGGCGATGCCGTCTATTCTCCCGTCCGCGCCTACAGCCCGCAGCTCTCCGCCCTTCCCCAATACCCGGGGGCGCCGCCTGCGCTGCCCTCGCGAATGTTCAGCATCGACAGCCTGATCAGTTCCAAACAGCAGCAGCAGCAACACCACCACCAAGCAGTCGCCCTGCAGGCCTCCTCGGCGATGGGCATGGACCTGGGGCCTTACCATTCCTTGGGCCTGAACGGCGTGGCCGACCTGGGCCCCTGCCCGATGGGCAACCCGACGGAGACCTATTTCCAGGCGCAGCAAGCGAGTCCCGGCTTAATGGGTCGGCAGCCCTCAGGCCCGACCTACCCCTACGCTGCCTCTCCCTCCAGCCACCTAGCGGTGCCTCCCGGCGCCTATTCCCCACCCCACTCGCAGCTGTACGGAGCCCCCAGCAGGCTGGCTGTGCAACCCGGGCGCCCTGCTTCTTCTTGCCCGGAACACGCGGAACAGCTGGTGGGCCTCGCAGCCTCGCAACTCAATGGGCTCGGCCAATTTGGAGCCGCAGCCACCGGCGGTGCCTACCTGAGACAGTCAAATTTTGCCTCCGGCCTGGAGAAATATTTGTAAAGAGGAGGAAGCCAAAGCTACAAAGACACCCCAAAATTGTTTTGGAACTCTTTTCTTTAATAGTCAAAAGGAAGTCTGTATCTAATTATTCATTAGCAATCATTCCATAATTGGATTCAAAGAAATACAACTTTTTCTGTATGTCTGTGGCAGCTTCTTGGCTGTTTAGGATTGAATATATATTCCGTGCCTTCAATCATTGTACCTAAAGTGCATTTATCTTGTGTTATGGGCAGTCAGCCATAGTTGAAATACTGGGGTTGGGGCCTTAAAGGCCAAAGTATTGTCATTCATCTGATGTCCAATCTTTCCGTATGTTCAATTGGCCCAAGGAGTTGTTTTACACGAATAGGGCTTTTTGGGCTTGTGCAACAAGTTTTGGGAGTGGCAGTTAAGACTGAAGCAGGCTTAAAGCCTTGCCTCAGGTTCAAATAAAAATCAGTGCCATCCTTGACTTTAGCATAAATTCACTCCTTCGCATCCAAAGTGGGAAGACAAGCTAGCTAGGAAAGAAAGAATTTAAGTCTCTGGCCTTCTTTGTGACAGTTTTTCAGGGAGAAGTACTCTAATGAAAGAGATTGTGAAGGTACTTTTTCAGAGTAAGTGTTTATTATTTCACGGAACTTTCTCGCTTTCTGAGATTTTCATTTTCAGTCCACTGTGTGAACCTTGGGGCTTAAATGCTCTGTACTTCAGTTTGAATGCTGTGTTGCTTGCAGAGACTGGAAAAGCTGTTCTAGAACAGGGCTCTCCAACTTTGGCAATTTGAAGCCTGGCGGACTTCAACTCCCAGAATTCCCTAGCAAGCTGGCTGGGGAATTCTGGGAGTTGAAGTATGCCAGGCTTAAAGTTGCCACAGTTGGAAAGCCCTGCTCTAGACAGAAAGAAGTTGTTCCCTTAGTTTCTCAGGCTGTTTCTTTGTAGAGTTCTTTGCTGCTGGCTAATCTGAATGAATGAAAATGCTAAAAGGGGAAAGCAGCTACCCAAGTATTTTTAAAAGCCAGTAGGTGGGATCTAGCATGTTTACAAAAGTTTCTCTATCAGGCTGTAGAAGTTTTAAAATAGTTTTTAATCATGGATGTGGCTGGAGGGATTTTTTATTCCACCACATGTGGAGAAAAACAGACCAGGCTGGGAAAAGAGTTCTAGGCTCAAACTCCGAGAACCTTCTAAGACTCCCTTTAATGCTGAATGCATTTTCATTTCCATCTTGTCCTTTTCTCCAAGGTGTTTTGGGACAGCAGATCCTTATTGTCATGATTTCACATTAATCATTGGTTAGCCTGAGAAGTAGCAACTAACCCAAGCAACAGCAATTTGTCAAAGCTGAAATTATGGGATTATGTCTTTTTATCCTCACAATAGTCTTGTTAGGCAGGTTGACCTAAGAGATGACAATTTGCCTGAATGCCACTCAATTAACTTAGTAGCTTTGTAGGAATTTAAGTACCTTCTTCCCAAGTCCAATTCAAAACTTTTATCTTCTGCAAAATATATTCATTGGAAAATGTCTGGATCACTAATGATAATATATGAGCATGTGATATTTGTTCCATTACATCTCCATTTTGATTCTACACCTATATGCTTGAGGGAGAGCATCCTAGCTTTTAAGGGCTAGCAAATTTTTGTATGTTGTGCTGTGATTGGGTCAACAACAGTAGTTCTGTGCAATGTGCACCTGTTGAAAACCCCCACCGCGCAACAGTTGTGTTGTGCACATTATTTACTCTTTACTGTGCACCGTTGCACATTATTTACTGATATTTACAAAGATTGGGTATGGAAGTGATTTGGTGTCATTGAAGCACCATGGTAATGCTTCAATATACATGAATTGGACAATTTTGTTTACTGGATTGCTGTACCATGTATCAGCAAAATTATATGTGAATTTTGTACAGTATGTAGTAGGTGTGACATATATAGTACCGGAATAATTTAATCCTGCAATATTGTATTTTGAACAATAGTGCCTCCTGAATAATACACCTACATATAGTGCATGTAAATACTTTTATAATTTTTTATTGGACTGAAAACCTGTAACCAAATAAAGATCTTGGTAAACTCCTTTATTTAATCTAAAGTTCTATGATTTAAATGATTTAGTGGCAATCCTGGACCCTGCCTTTTTAACTTACAACACTAGGATTCCAATTTTTCTGGCAACAGAGTTTTGAGTTCAGAGTTTCTACTGTCTTCAAGTTAAATACTTGTGTGTTAATTGAATTATGGATTTGTCAATGATAGTTAGAAAATATCGAATATCAGAATTTTCAGTATTAATTTTTAATTTTGTTCAAACTAGTCCTGGGTGGAGGAGCAAGCCAATATCTGAACTGTGCTTTGTCGGGATTACTAAAAATACAATAAAATAAAATTTCTGCATTTACAGAGCTAGTATGCTAGGCAGTAGATCAGGATTAGAACTTTTCTCCCCTCATTATCTAGATGGGGTATTATTCTATGACTTTTTATGACTTTATCTGTGTGTTTGCAGAAATATTTAATGATATGAATCCCACCTTCATCACTGAGTAAGTTTAGCCATGGGTTTATTACTTCTACAAGAACAAGCTTTACTTATTACTATAAGAATGAATTTTTGTTCAATTGAGCTTTTTAAAAAAAACAACAGAAAAAATTAAGTGTTCCTTTTGGGCAGGCTTCAGAAAGCTGTTTCTGTTTTGCCTATTGAACATGTACCTTGAATGTATACTTTATTCTTAAAATGTGAATATACAGTATATCATTAAAATGGAAAAAAGATACAAAGCAAGTGAAGAATTATGCTTGTTGAAATGTTCTTTGTGGCACATAATGTGTCTAATCCATTAAAAACATCTTAAATTTTGACCCACCAATCCTTAGGTTTGGGGGCAGAGGGGTTTATTTTCCCAGAATGTTATCATATCCAGAATGGATTAATATGGCTGTTTTCCAATATGGAGGCATCTAAAGGCAACTATGTGTACAATTATTAATAGAAAGTGTTGTTCTGAGTCTATGTATGAGATTCAGCCTTGTTTCCACATTCAGAGAGCCCTGTTTCTATAGTCAGCCTTGGACTCTGCTTTAGAGATTTTTGATTTGGTCTTCCTGTATTCAGCTAGATGGTCTCTAGTAAATGAGCAGTGACAATGTAAAGCAACATTTAATCAAAATACTCATGACAAAAACCTGCACTAAAGAAGGTTTACTTTATTTGCCCAATTCAGAAGACCAACAGATTATTTTTCTTAATTTGATTTCTTAATTGTTCTATACAGAAATATATTAAAATGTTTTGGTGGAAACAATAAATAAATGATGCAATAATTTTATACATATTTTATATATATCTACTCAGAAGTTGCTTTCAATTTCACTGAACTTACAAGGCAAATTCCGATTAATTATAGCTGTCTGAGAAGTTTTATCTTTATCAATGTCAATAGATGAAAATTGCAAGTATATCACTTTATTAGATTTTGGATTCCAGGACCTGATAACAGGACATGGTTGAGTTAGAATGTGACAATCTGTTCTGTTTACACATGGAAAAAGAGATCAAAGAAAAGGACAAATGAGAGTTAAAGAAAGAGGAGAAGAAGAAAAAGTTGAACTTTTTCTGCGATCTTCTGTGAACACATGTGAATCTTTGACCTTTCAAAAGTGATTTTCTTTTTAGAAACAGGCTCAGTACAACTCCTTTTCTGGATACAGATCTAGGTGGTACATCTTGATCAGATATGTTCTTATTGCTCGGTCTTTTCTAGATATTGCTGAAGACATAAATGAAGGACAAAAAAAGAAACAAGTAGCCAGTTCATATTAATTGCCCCTTATCCCAATGAAACAGGGAGCTTGTAATCCTCACACTTTTGTGGATACTCAGACTGTTAAATTTCAAGGTGTCACAAGTCAGTCGATACTATTATTTTGTCATCTCAGCATTACAAAAAGGAAACAATGATGTGGAATATTCCTTTTTGTATCTAAATGTGATTTTTGACTAGGTGAAATAAATCCTTCGCCTAAGGATAATATTCTCAATGTGACACTCATTGATAAATATGGGCTCGGTTAAAGTTTTTAGTTGGCCTCAAATAAAGATTTTTAAAATATGTATGTATTTATTTAATTTCTAGGCTACTCAACTCCAGATTATTTTGGGCAGCTCTGCAAAGTTAAAAGGACAGCACCGTAATTCCATTAAAAAAACAACAACAGCATCCATAAAACAACAGTTGTCTGAGGGAACAAACCATCCTTTCATTTATTCCTCCAACTTAATAATACATGCGTACCACCTACACATCAATATCTATGGTAGGGCAGAGATGTCTTTGGCATTTACTAAAAAATTCCTCAGTTCAGTTGACTTGGCTTTGATTAATGGCAACTGAGTTATTCAAAGCTGATCTCACATTTGTGCAAACCAGAAGAAAGTTTGAAAGCTGCATCTGTCTGGGAAGCTTCTCTGAAAGCTCTTGAAGATCTTAGCAAGCTTTGGCTTTTAGTCTCTGAAGTATGGCCGGAGACAGTTGGGCTCCAGTTGTCTGAAGAGCTGCATTACTTCTCTCTTATGTTTTTTACCTGACTCCTTTTTGTACCCTTGAAATTGTCTTGTAGACTCTCAACTTTTTCCAACTGAGCCCTCTCTGGAATGTTGCAGTATTTATTTTCTGATACTACACTTAGCCCATCCATTTTAATATTTGTGTGTGTGTGCGTGTATTTTATACCTGATATGTTGTTTTAAGAAACTTAAATAGCTTAATATTTTCCAAAGAGATCAATAGTCAATGACTGAATTATGCAAAGCACTAAAAGCATCATATTTCCATTTAATTAAGGGAATCATTCTGCTCCAAAGGTAAGGATTTTTGTTTGTCACAGAGGACTCTCATCTTTGACATTCAGCTTGATCATAATCAAGATTGGAATCTGGGCTTGAAGGACATGAGATGGTCCTTCATATATACATGTTCATATTCTGAAACTTTTTAGAAAAA